ATCCTTGCTCCTAGTTGCGATGCCTGTTGTTACTAGTAGCTTCTTGTTCCTAGCTCCTACTTCGCCTTTCGGCTTTGCACAGACACGAACGGCAGGCCAGGCACCTCGACCACCCATAGGGCCTTCACGACCGCCATCACGGGCTTCGCAGCCACTGGCGGTGTCGTGGCACGGGTGGCATCATGTGCATCGCACGGTGTGGCAGCGCTTGAGCTCAGCTTGGCCGTGGCAGGAGACGAAGAGAGGGCGGCATGCAGCTAGAAGGGTCTTTGATCTTTGGCACTTCAAAGTGTCAACTCATGTAATTAGAAAAGCAGTCTATCTCATCCAGATGGGAGGTTTTACAAGTTTGGTGTCGTTTTCGTTCTTCAGAAATGTTTGACAACTGGCCCAGGGGTGCTTCTCGAGCGCAGTCTTGTAAAGAAGGTGAGTACACCTTGAGACCTGCCCAAGCGCATGTGACCACACGTAGCGTACACATACCTTTCACCACTTGAGGGTGACTTGGTTCAAGGGTTGGAAGGCCTGAAACCTTAACAGACAAGAATTGTGGCTTGGAAAAACTGAAGAATGCTGATTCGAGACGTTGCTCATATCTATTAGGAACAAGTGCATCGCTACTAGTACAAGTGCCTTACTAGTAGAAACAAGAAGCTATTAGGAACAAGTGCCTTACTACTAGTAACAATTAGAATTTAATAAATTTAAATAACTTCTTGTTACTACTAGTAAGGCACTTGTTACTACTAGCGAGGCACTTGTAATTACTAGCAAAGGAATGCTGATTCGAGACGTTGCTCATATCGTATTTCGATTTGCAATTTTGTGCATGGCACATCAAATGATTTGCTGCCACGGCAGCTATCCAGTGACTGATCTTTGCACTTGTTGCTGTGAACGCAGATCTGCTGGTTGCTGGTTGCAGTGAACCTACAAACGATGGCCTTCAACCTACTAGCTATGGCCTCCAACCCAGAAGCGACGGCCTCATATGGCCTCCAACGTACTAGCGATGACCTCCATCCAACCTAGAAGCGATGGCCTCCAACCCAGAAGCGATGGCCTCCAACCTACTAGCGATGGCCTCCAAGCTACTAGCGATGGTCTCCAGCCTAATAGCGACGGCCTCCAACCCAGAACCGATGGCCTCCAACCCAGCGATGGTCTCCAGCCTAATAGTGTTCTTCAGTCTCTAAGTCTCTTGAGCATCACTTCCTGACGTCAGAAGCCCAAACCGGAGCCCTACTTTCTGCAGCCCTTGCACGACTTTTATCATGCAGTGACAATGCAGCTGCATCTCCTTTGGAAGGCCGTAGGGTCATAGGGGTAGGGCTGAGTTGGATGCGTAAGAAGTTAAGTTTCCTTAAGCATCTAGGAAGCAAATCATTCGTGGAACGCTTCTTCACGGAAGCTCCCCTTGCCGCTTTTAGGGCAGCGGGGGGAGCTTTTTTGAAGAAGCGTGAGCTATCCTGCGTCCATATGTAGTAGCATCTCACTAGCTACAGTAGGAGCGAACAAGTTTGTTCCTTACAAAGTAGGCGCCTGCTAAGGAGCTTGCTTCCTTGCTTGATTAAGGTCTTTCAAAAATGGTAGAAGCGGTCTTAAATGACACCCGACCCAACTCCGAAGTCCCGAGGCCACAGGGTTGGGGCCTTGGTTGATGCTCTTCTGGACCGCGCTCTCGCCCTATCCGCCCTTCAGTTGGTTGCAATGGCTTGTCTTAAAGGCAAGGCTGGCTCACTCTCTTTCCTTTTGGTTTCGGTGTGAGAGGTGTTTTGGTGATAGCATGGGAGCGGTTGAGTCGGCAGGTCTGGCACCTTCCGTTGCTCTACCGGCCCAAGCCCTGTTCGCTTCGTCGTCGTGAGCGGTTTCGGCTCTTCGCTTTGTCACGTTTGTTTCGCTTTGTAGCTTGTGACGCTTGTGACGCTCTGAAAAGACTGGGTTTGTTCGTTCCTTTGTGAAGATAGATTCGAGCCACTCTCTAAATCTGCGAGGTCCTACATCATGTTTCTCTTTGTTGACAACGTTTGGAAGCTGCGAGACCCAGGTTTTGATCGGTGCGTAGACTCGGTGTGAAAGGGGCCCAAAGGGAGCGACGACACGTTTGTCGGGCTGTGATTTCACAAAATTGGTCAAGAACTTCGCCTTTTGCAAAACATCGACAATTTTGCACAAAGCAAGTGGCAACTCCAATGCGCTTTCATTCTCCCTCTTGCTTTCGGTTTCGTCAATGAGGTGGCTGCTTCCATCTTTTCATTCCGAAGTTGTGCCGGGGCACCGAGAGCGGGCGACGGTACACCCGAACGGCAGGCGGCCGCGGCGGCCCGGCCCGCCATGTTTGTCGTTTGCGAATGCGAGGGTGGGCGCTTGGCTGGCGCTGTTGTATCGCTTCAACCCCAAAGCGTACGTCCAGCGAGCACGGAGACTCAGCCGGAGAAATGGGACAAGGTTGGAAAGCTTTCACAAAATGAGGACGTGAACACAAGCTGCCAAAATCCTCTGAAAGAATGTGCGAACACAGTGCACGTCAATAGAGTGCAGATACATAGGATGAATCTAGGAATCTGGGGCCAGAGTAGATTTGGACACTTGCATCCTACGTTCGATGATTGACCTGTTCTTAGGAAGCTTCCGCTTCCTTCAACCGTGAGGTGGTAAATCGATTGGTCTCCATGCTTAACAAGCAGGCACTGCGCGTTGGATCAATCGAAGAGTTGAGGTGCATAGTAAAGAGAAGAACGAGAAAAACACAAGTTGCTAGAAGGCTGCACAACGAAAAGCACAAATCCGGCAGGTTCCTCTGATCGTTGTTTGGTGTGGAAGGCTGGTTCTATTCTATGGACGTTGATTTAAGCGGAGCCAAAAGCATTGGGAGATGTGCCCCACATTAAGCCTCCCAATCGTGGGTTTCATTACAACTACAAGTTTCCCACCTCGTTTCACCTTGGTCCTACCACCAATCTGGTCGACCTGGCCAGTCATCTTCAGGCGAAGCTCCTGTCCCCAAAAGGCGTGAAAGCACCATTGCCGCAGGAGAGAAGACGACATTCTGCACCTTTCGCATAGATCAGGTTGGTAGGTTGGAGGCTATCGCTAGTAGGTTGGAGGCCATCGCAAGTAGGTTGGAGAGGTTGGAGGCCAATACTAGTAGGTTGGAGGCATGACTACTAGTAGGTTGGAGGCCATGACTACTAGTAAGTTAGAGGCCATTACTGCTAGTCGGTTGGAGGCCATTGTTGGAGACCATTACTACTAGCAGCTAGAAGCTACTAGTAATAAAGGGTTCTAGGTTGGAGCCGATCTTAACGATGGAGCACCTTGAGGCACCACGATAGAGCTTCATTGCTCGGTTGCCGAACCCAGCGGCTTAACCGCATTTGCGTCGAGACGAATAGTTTAGCTTTCAACCCATTCTGTTTTCGCATCGTTCGCCTCAGGAGCTGCTGGAGACTTTGTGCACACGGCTTCGAAACGATGCCCAACTCTTGCAGGCGAGTTCAAACGAAATCGAGTTCGAGTTTATTTTGCGCTGCCCGGTGCCAGTTGGTCATGTGCAGACTCGTGTGGCTCATGTGGGGTGACGTGTCACTTTTTGGTCTACAGTCTCAGTGCTCAGTGGCATACGCTCTAAGGATGGCATGGCTCTTCCGGTAGAACCTGTTCTGTCACCCTTAGGTGTTTGAACACGCTTTCTCGCACCGACAGAAACTGTGTTACGAGCGACAGGGTCAGACCTTCAAGGGGTGGCACTTCCGACTTCTTCCTTCCGAGCGCTTGGTATCAAGCCAAACCGTCAGAGTGTGTGCGGAAAGACAATCCGGTTTGCTGCGAAATAGCACCCCTGACGGCCCTAGCACACTCTTTGTGCAGCTCGATGCTTGCTTCGTTTAGCTTGTTTGGCAAGGTCTTGGGCCACCACCGTACGCTACGGGTCTGGCCAAAGCTGAGGAGGTGAAGTGACCGTGTTCGTCGGTATTTGCTCTTTACACATCTCCAAATTCAATAACCAGTCAGGCTCGATGGCAAAGGAGCCTATTTGGGGACACATGTCTCTGGCCGAAGGAGCACAATTGCGGTTCTTCTGGTGATGGGTTGGAACGTTGATCCGTCGGTGGTGGGTGCGGGTCAGTTGATCGACTCAGGTTTGCAAGTTCTGTGGTCGCAGGTTGCACCTGCACATAGGATCACGACGGATCACGGATATCCGCATCATTGAGGGTCTTTGTCCAAATGAGAGACGAACCAACCTGTTTCGTTTTCAACTCACGGTCCTCATTCCTCCCAGCTTCAGGTTCCTTCACTCTCCTTCGGTTTCGTGATAACGTCTTGGTTGGAATTGGTTCGCTCATTGAGCCAGGCAGACTTTGGGAAGCTTGAGCTTCTCCAGTCCCCGAGAAGCGTGGCTCTTGAAGGCCGACAGACGGGTATTGCTGAGTCCTTGTTTGGAGTCAAAGGGGGAGTCCATATTGGCAGCTAAGGCTTTCTGGCAGTTGTGGTTCCTCGCCAAAGTGATTTCTGCATATTTCTGCAGTCATTGTGTTCTCGCGGCCCAGACTATTGTGGATGGCTACTATCGTGAAGTGGAGGCGCAAAGCCCATCATGGATGGCAGACGCAAAACGATCCCAAGCGGCTAGCAGCTAGCCACCGGCGGTCAAACTTGCAATTTTTTCTTGAAGCCATAATGTGTCAAGACACGGAACATCTCATTTTGGCGGAGGGCATGTTCAAACAGCTTCAACAATTTTCCACAACTGGATCAGCCAAATGCGGACCTTTTTCTGCAGAGGCCGAGGTAAAGGAAGCCACGCTTGTGGCGGCCGCACAACAGGCCGCGCGTTGTGCTCGACAGACACTTATTTTCAAGACATGTAGCGCTGCAGCGCCATCAAAGCTAGCTCAGCCCTGGGGCCCTGCCTTGTGTTTGGCTTGATTGAAGGACTTTGCTCTCTAAATCCATATTATCGGCTTGCTATATTCTGCATCATATCCAAGCATCTCACTTATTTTGTTCAATGGACATGCCATCCGTGGTACATGGAAGGCAGCAGCCAAGATGCGGGCCTTGCATGAGGCATTTGTTGTGGGACCAGCGAGAAAGTCTGGTGTGAATGCCTACTAGCGATGACCTCCAACCTAGAAGCAATGAACTTCAACCTAGAAGTGATGGCCTCCAACCTAATATCAACTGCCTCCAACCTCAGAGCCATGGCGTTCAACTTAGAAGCGTTGGCCTCCAACCTACAAGCAACGGCCTCCAACCTAATAGCGATGGCCTCCAACCTAGAAGCAACGGCCTCCAACCTAATAGCGATGGCCTCCAACCTAGAAGCGACGGCCTCCAACCTATTCGTTTGGATTGTGAAGCCGAAGCGTGTGATTTGCTCCTTTTGTTTTACATGGGTTACAGGTCAACACGTATGTCTTCTCTGCTGCCTCTCAAAGCAAAGCACCCTTTCCGTGACATTAACACGACGGCTACAAGGTATTCCAACATCGTCAACTTGGGGCTTTGCAGTCGTGTTCTGTTGGCACCAACATTCGCAAACACAGCGCGACTTTGCAACCAAACACTGCGATGGTGAGTTAGTGCATATGTTGTGTTTACTGGACACCGCAAGAACAGAGCGCCCACAAGAGGAACCTGCCATCCGCACTGACGCTGCAAAGTGGAAGAACCGGACAAATTGACCTGCTATACATCAGGCTTTCCATAGAGCTGGGGGACAGCATGTCCACTCCCTAGCCAGTATAGACTCGACCCTGAAAAAAACAAGGACAGGAGACGAACCTCCCAAGTTGCCTCAAGGTGTTGGAGAGCGATTGGAAAACCACTCTTTGCCAATGCACGCAGCTGGATTTGCTGCTTCGTAGAATATTGTAAACTCTTTAGTGGACTGTGCAACCCAGCTTTTAGCTTGTGCGATGTCTTCTGACAAGAATGGCAGGGGATCGATTCTTTGACCAGGCCATGGATTCGGCACGCTTGGCCTCGAAGGATGGTGGCCTCTCCCAGGGCACTGGCGGCTTGATGACCGAGGCCACACACAGTGCCGCTCGGGTCATTTTCTCTCGGCAGGTTCACTGCACTTGATTCTAATAGAAGTTGATTATAGTTGATTCATATTTGTTCATGTTGAATCAGAACTATGATGAAGCAAGAGTGTTGCACTTTGCACTCACACTACACTTATGTTGAGTCGATCCGAGTCGATCAGGTGGATGTGGCTTCTGCCCAGGCCGCCGACGCAATCATCGCACTGGGCCAGGCACGGGGACCCGGTCTCGGTGTCCCATACGTGTTTTTTCTCGCGTCCCATGCGTCGGGCTTACAGTGGTTTGTCAATGGCAATCAGATCCGAACTGTGCGTATTGGTTGCGCCATCGATGCAGTGAGCGCCCTGCCGGTCCCATACTACGCTGTGGGAGAATGGTGAATGAGACGGAGGTTCTTGTCTCGTTCGTTTGTCCCTTTAGAGACTTGCAGTTTTTGGATCGCTTGTGCGAACGAAGAACGCAAGTACATCTACGTTCGTGTTCGGATCTGTGGACGTGTGTCAACTGGTTCGATTGTCTCGGAAGCCGAGCTTTCACCCATTGACCTGTCTGGAATGGTCGAATAGATGTGCTTAACCGCAACTGTCGGTTCATTGTCTGGAACATTCACAGTAGATTGTTCGAGGCTACATTAGGCTACATTTGTTTCAACGCTCGACTCCATGAAAAGGTTGCAAGCGGAGTTGCAAGAGGCTTGCTGCCTCGCTTCCTTTCCCTTTCACCTTCATCTTGTTCGTCTTTTTAATTCCACATGGCTTCTGACTTAACGAGTTTGGCTGTGGCAAAGACCCCAAGTGAATCTCAAACAATAGAGTAGGTGGACGACATCACTCACACCCTCAAGACAGTTCATAAACCAACACTTTTTTTGTTTCATTCTGGCTGTAGAAGGAATACATAAATCACCGGGGACATATACTGTATTATATATCAAATTTGACACTTCACCATGCTTCTCATGAGCTCCGTTTTCGAACAGAGGTGGCTGAAGGAACAGGGGTTGTTGTGCAAGGATAAAGCATGTTGAAGCGTTTTATCTTGCCCATGGTTGTTTGAGCTTGCTTCTGATGTCATACACAACCTTCTCAACTCTTTATCAGCCCTGAGTGTCCCTTTATATGTTCGGTGACATTTATCTTGCTTTATCATGCTTTCAGCGTGTCGAAGCTGGTCGCTCTCCGCATTTTGACTTCTCTCGGGTTCGTAGCAAAGAGCTTTGCTTTGGTGCCAAGCTCGCCCTCGACACATTAGCCTAAGCCACTCGTTCAAAACCGCCGAACCTCGGATCTCTATACTCGACATTTGCAAAGATAAACGTCGAAATTTGACATGAGTCTGCACTCGGCTTGTCAGTGAGACATTGCAATGCAAAAAGCTGGGCCAATTCTCCAAAAAACTTGAGATACCAAAAGACTGCGCAGTTGCTCAAAGTCTAGACTGCAGAGCGGATTTTTCAGAGAGAAATAGATCGACGGATCCTGAGACTTTGAAACATGTGACCAAATTGCCATCTCCAAGGCCAAGGTCGAAGCGCAAGAGGCCACTGCGCGGGTTGGCAAGGCCGGTCGTGAGGCATCCATCATTGGATTCACAAAAAAACTGTTTGCACATGTTTCTAATAGCTTCTTATTACTACTAGTAAGGCACTTGTTACGAGTAGCGATGCACTTGTTTCTAGTAGCTTCTTGTTACTAGTAGTAAGGCACTTGTTACTAGTAGCGATGCACTTGTTACTAGTAGCT